TCTTAAATCGGCTTTGCACGTGCAAGTCATTGATATGATATTGCTTAAATCACCCAGAATCACCTCACCAATTATATAACGTGAATCACTTTTTAAATCCGAAGTTTGTAAAAAGTAGCCAGTAAATTTGACGGAATTTGTTATTTCCGAATTTTATAATGTGATTGGCATTAAAAACACGCTCACTTTCAACGAAATTTCCTTTCCGAGGCTTTGTGTCAGCTCAATCACATATTGTGTCAAACTTGGAAATTGCACGGTACACTGTAGGAACTACGATAAATTTTCCCTAATCGGCGCCATGTTTTTAGGCTCATCCCATTTGACGGATCCCAATAGTGTAGTGAATATACATTATACTATAATATATGAGATGCCGGTCACTAACAGCTGACTGGAATACCGATATGCGCATGCGCGCCTTTCTATTCTCACAGTCTATCGCTTCGCGAGACGAAACGTTACAAAACGTGTCATTCCATGGCCTTGAGATTTTACTCTCATCGAGCCCAAAGAAGTTTCACTTCAAAATGTAACTCCCCCCTAGTATTTAAACCGTAATGTTTGCCGATTTTCTGCATGACGTTAAAATTTCGTGCCCAATTGTCCGTCTATTATATAATACCTAGCAGAAAACTATAGGTATCTTTCGAGCGCTGAGTGTAGCGAACACAAAATGACTGATTATCGAATTTATACTATACGAGGGTGGATTGATAAGTTTCCGGCCTAACCAAGAGATGACGCCACTAGGCCTACCTTGAGGTGACATTCTATAGTACCATCCTTGGATAGCTTGTAGCTATAGTTTCAGCCCGATCTCCTTGCTAGTGTAGGTTTGACAGCACGCTGAACAAGACGCCTCTGTGGTTTTCGTAAAAATGGAAAAGCAGGAAAATCGTGCTGTCATCAAATACTTTTATTTGAAGGGGTTAACGCCGAAGGAAATTAAAAAAGAGATGGACTCAACACTGGGGACATCCTCCCCGTCATATTCAACCGTTAAGCAGTGGGTTTCCGAGTTTAAAAAGGGTCGTGTGAGCACCTCTGATGGGCCTCGCTCAGGACGCCCCGTTGAGGTCACAACTCCAGATATGATCGAAAAAATTCATCAAATAGTGCTGGGAGACCGCAGATTGAAAGTGCGTGAGATAGCTGAGACCTGTAAGATGTCATATGAACGTGTGCAACATATTTTGCACCAACATTTGCATATGGAAAAGCTCTGTGCAAGATGGGTGCCGCGTTTGCTAACAGTCGACCAAAAATTGATTCGAAAAAACATTTCTACCGCAAATTTGTCATTGTATAAGCGTAATCCAAGCGAATTTTTGCGTCGATTCGTAACCGTTGACGAAACGTGGGTCCACCACTACACTCCTGAAACCAAAGAACAGTCTAAACAGTGGATTGGACCAGGGGAACCAACTCCAAAGAAGGCAAAAACAATTTTTTCGGCGAACAAGGTTATGGCTACTGTTTTTTGGGATGCAAGAGGTATTATATACATTGATTACCTTGCAAAGGGTAATACTATCACTGGTCAATACTACGCAGACTTATTGCAACGTTTGAGCCACGAGGTGAAAATTAAACGACCTCATCTGGCGAAGAAAAAAATCTTGTTTCATCACGATAACGCACCAGCGCACACGTCAATCGTTGCGACGGCTAAAATCAACGATCTAAAGTTTGAATTGATGCCGCACCCTCCTTACTCTCCAGACCTAGCCCCGAGTGACTATTTTCTGTTCCCTAATCTCAAAAAATGGCTTGGCGGTAAGAGATTTGCGGACAATGAAGAAGTAATCGAAGCTGTAAATGGTTATTTTGAGGAGCTTGACGAATCAGTCTATAGAGATGGCATTAATAGACTGGAACACCGCTATGAGAAATGTATCAGCCTTGGAGGAGATTATGTTGAGAAATAAAAAAAAAAAATTTTTAAAAACCTTGTTTTTCTTGGTCAGGCCGGAAACTTATCAATCCACCCTCGTATAAATTACAGTAAGATTACAGAGGGATTGTATTTATATCATGGATAGTATATATAAGCCAAATGAAAAAAATTATGGCAGCAGCATATTGAGTCTAATTTAACTAGGGTAAAGGTAAATCGTAAAATAACACACGTTCCATCAGCTTGATTTCTCGTCGTAATACGAAGAGGTACGGAAAACTACACACATTTTATTCGCGCTAAGTTGGTAAGCGTTGCTTAACTTTTCGCAGTTTTCAATAATAGTTATTTGTTTTAGTTTTAACGACCATTATAAATTCTTTCACTTTATAGTGTCCTCCTTGCCGAGCGTTTACTCCGCAGTTGATTGAGATGTACCGAAGAATTAGAAGGAAAGATCCGGATTTCGAAATAATTTTCGTAAGCAGTGATCGGTAAGTGAATATTAACCAACTTTTGATGATATTAATGTAAGATCTCAAAACTGCTCAAGAGAATTTTGTAAATATTATTGGAAAAATGAAATGATGTCTGTAAAATGAATAATTAGGTAATTTCTAAGAACAAAACAATAAAAACTGTTAATTTTTAAATGAGATTGTAGTAAATATTAATTTTAATGCGAAGGGAATTACAGAAATTACGAGTTTTCAAAATTGCTACACTTGTATAGCTAATTCAAAATCTCATGGGACTTCACATGCGGAAAAAGCGGGCCTTGTTGCTTCCTTATTGCACATTACAAAAACATCACTATAGAAGAAGCTCTAAATAAATTTTAAGCAGTAACGGGCAATGTATTAATGTAGGAATATAGAAATGAATGAATGGGAGCAGAGTTTTGTCATAGCGGGATCCAAGGCAAAGTGACCAAACTATTTTAAACAACGTATATGATAAATTCCGAAAACCCTTAACCTGCAGGGCAAATTAGTATTTATTTTATAAGTCACCGAGAGACACCTCGATATTTTACTTTGCATAAGACAAATTGTAAAAAAAATCTTGATCGACTTTCATTCCCACCAGCGTTAGCTAGTGGGTGAACTATCCCACTTTGGTGCAGAATAGTGGGGGGGGGGGTAGCAAGGAAGGCTTTGTTCGATCTCCTTTAGAAATCGTGGGGATGGGTGGCCGGTAACACCACGATCCAAGGAAACCAAAGAGATACATAATGAGCTAATGCACATGAATCCTGAAAAGAATTGATGCTTCCATATGCTAGGTTACGTATGGTCTTATGATCTTCATCAAAAGCAAGAGGAAGACCCAGTTAAATAAATAAAATTTTTCATCAGGGAACAACTTGTCGAATTATTTAAGACAAGCGAGACAGAAGCCTAGTCTGCAGTGTGAATATGAAAAGATTTTCTTGAGTCAAGAACGGAACTAGTGTGAATCGGGCCCAGCATTAACTTACTGGAATGCTTAACCAGTTTAGAAGTCCTTAAAATTTTCCATCTTTTGTTCATTAAATATGTAGTAGGAAAATATCCATAAACTCGTTGTTGTTTGTTAATGCATCCTTAACTTATTCAGTGTTATTTAAATCATTCTCCATACTTGCTTTTATTGTAATTAGAAGTAGCTGGATGTAGGCTCTCCAACTGTACATATACCTACTTGTACAACAATCAGATTCTGCTGGAGCAGCAAAATCAGGACATTTCTCGCATTCATTTTCTGAAGGAGCAATTGTATTCTACAGTACGTAGTTAGATACATACATCCGCACAAGTGAAGCATTTCAATTCAATCAATTATGGAAAATATGAACAAGTACGCACGGTTCAGCAGTTTCCACGTTTCCAGTTTAGTAAAAACAGAGAAAACGATCACTTTACAACCATTAGATGACGAAGATGTTTCAATCACCTTTTAATATTAATCTTAATGGGCATTCCTTTGCAGATACCCAATATAGTAAGGTTTTAGTAAAGCTAGCGTCCATTTCATAGTAATGTAATTTCAAATTAAAAATTAAAAAAAGAATGGATGAAGAAAGGACGAAGTAATTAAAGTACATTAATAGATATACTAGACTATGTAACGTCTTGTCAAACACTCTGAGATATTATAGTTTCTTTGAATTTTCAATAATTTGTCCAAGCCACCTACGGTGTAGTAATAATCTCCTATATCATTGACATTTTCATCAGTTTGATGGGTGTGTAGGTGAGGTTAGGTTAGGTTATACCTACCAGAATGTCCTTTAATACTTCTAGGGTAATCCTCAGCTACAATTTTCTCGAATATCGGAGATTGTCCTGAAATAGATTGTTCTAAAGTGAATTGGTCGGACGAATCAAGAACGTTGTAGAACGTTTGAGTTATGCATCTCGGTTCCGGCATTAAATTCGGGCATTTTTATATATTTCGACCACTGTCCTAAAAACTTTCCCCAGTATGGTGACCAATAAATTCGAAACTACGATGAACATCTGGTTGTTTTGACAAATTAAACGTTCGTTAGTTTCATAAAAAAAAATAATTTGAAGTGGTCTGTATTCTGTCGAAACTGCCAGACGCGGATCGCGATTTCGATCTTTTTGGGTCTCATCAGCGCGTCGCAGGCAGCTCCGACAGAACACAGACCAAC